TGAGCTGAGCTTGGTCTGCTCAGTTTTTATATTCTCGACTTGCGATGCTCCCTTCTGCTAAAGGTATTTAGCCTAATTTTGTGTATCTATTTTTCTAGCCAGGGAGTGGCAGCAATTGCAGTCTAAGAAGTATGCCGAAAAACGCAAGTTTGGGTTCGTTGAAGCCCAAAAAGAGGATATGCCTCCGGAGCATGTTCGAAAGATCATCCGTGATCATGGGGACATGACAAATAGGAAATTCCGTCATGACAAAAGGGTTTATCTAGGTGCATTAAAATATATGCCCCACGCTGTGCTAAAGTTATTGGAGAATATGCCGATGCCGTGGGAGCAGATAAAAGATGTGAAGGTAGGCCAGAATTAGACCTTAGACCCCGTCGACAGGTTCTATATCACATTACGGGTGCTATAACCTTTGTCAACGAAATTCCTTGGGTTATAGAACCAGTATATGTCGCCCAATGGGGTTCTATGTGGATAATCATGAGAAGGGAGAAAAGGGATAGGCGACACTTCAAGCGAATGCGTTTTCCTCCTTTCGACGATGAGGAACCTCCTTTAGACTATGCAGATAATATACTAGACGTGGAGCCTCTTGAAGCTGTTCAATTGGAGCTAGATCCAGAAGAAGATGGGGAAATAGCCGAGTGGTTCTATGATAGAAATCCGCTTTCGGACACAAAGTCAGTATTTTTGTATTATGCATATTTATCTTTTTACAACTTAATTTCCTATATTCTTATTTTAGATTCGTTAATGGCTCTACTTACCGCCGCTGGAATCTTTCTCTTCCTATTTTGTCTAACTTGTACCGTTTGGCAAATACTCTTCTCACAGACCTCGTTGATGAAAACTATTTTTATCTTTTTGATCTCAAGTCGTTCTTCACAGCCAAGGCTCTCAATGTCGCACTTCCTGGTGGCCCCAAATTTGAACCCCTTGTTAAGGATAAAAATTTGGAGTAATTATCATCAATTCTATTCTCCTTCCCTATGCTTTGTATTTATTGTGTTATTTTTGCAGGGATGAAGATTGGAACGAATTCAACGACATTAACAAAATAATTATACGTCAGCCAATAAGGACTGAATACAGGATCGCATTCCCTTACTTATACAATAGTTATCCTTTTCAGGTTCATTTATCCTGGTACCATATCCCAAATGTTCTTTTCATTAAAACCGAAGACCCGGATCTTCCAGCTTTCTACTTTGATCCACTGATTAATCCTATCTCTCACAGACATAGTGTCAAAGTTAGTCATAGATTTATGTAAATTTTCTTATTAGATTGTTGAACCGTCCATAGATGAGGAAGATTCCTTTGAACTTCCAGAACATGTTTGCCCTCTACTCTCAGAAACTCCTTTGTATACTGATAATACGGCAAATGGGATTGCCCTACTTTGGGCCCCAAGACCCTTCAATATGCGCTCAGGCTCTACTCGTCGGGCTCTTGATGTTCCTCTAGTAAAGTCCTGGTACCGCGAGCATTGTCCTGCCGGCATGCCTGTAAAAGTTCGTGTTTCGTATCAAAAGCTATTAAAATATTATGTTCTTAATGCCCTTCACCATCGTCGTCCAAAAGCCCAGAAGAAAAGATATCTTTTCCGTTCTTTCAAGTCTACCAAGTTTTTCCAAACTACTTCCTTAGATTGGGTTGAAGTCGGGCTTCAGGTATGCCGTCAGGGCTACAACATGCTGAATTTACTTATCCATCGCAAGAACCTCAATTATCTTCATTTGGATTATAATTTTAACTTGAAGCCTGTTAAAACATTGACTACCAAAGAGCGCAAGAAGTCACGATTCGGCAATGCTTTCCATCTATGCAGGGAAATCCTGCGTCTCACAAAACTCATCGTAGACAGCCATGTTCAGTATAGGCTTGGTAACGTTGATGCGTTTCAGGTAAATGTTTACACCTAGAGGAAATTATTGTTTTGTGTATCAAACATTTTACTTATTTGTTCATTCCCTTATATTTTAAGTCTCTTAATTACTTTACGTGAGTTTACCTTTC